AATGTTTTTTTTTATTGCTTAGATGGCTGAACGAGTTCACAGCCCACCTGGTGTTAAGTGCTTACTGGAGCCCATAGACATCTACAACGGAAATGCGCCACCCACCTTGAGATATAAGTTCTAATGTCTCAGTATAGTTACAACGGCTGCCCCGCCCTTCCAACCGGATCGCATTAATGCTTCACAGCAGAAATAGGCAGGGCGGTGATACTTTTTTTTTCCGGGCCAGTGCCTAATCTCCTACGAGGTCCCCCCGCGCATAAGGGGCGCGCAGGGTATGTGAGACTCAACGATCTGCATGGTGTTGTGAACAGACCGCGGGCCCAAGGATTTTAGGGTCCACCCACTAAACGACTCCCCTGCACTCTTACACCCGACGTCCGATCCCCTCCGAGGTCAGAACCCAGATGTGGTAGGGGTGCTACCGCGATCAACACTACAACCAGACGGCGCGGCTCAGCCCACCCGACGGAGCCTTCGAGGCGAGGGCGGCGGTACCTACCCGTACGGACTCACAAGAGGTCCTACTACCAGTAATGTTTAAATCTTACGCGACGACAAATCGAAGTTGATGAATTTGCACATCATTGCTAAATTAATATCTTGTTGGTGACGATAAGCGACTCTCGATGGCGATGCTAGGAATGACTAACTCATCGGCCATGGTGGCGTAGTGGCATTTACTATGGAAAGGTCCTTTGCTGCTTCCAACTCGATTCTCTGAGCTTTCTTGCAGCTTTTTTGCCAACAGTCGCGAGTATTTCTAGTTAAAGCTTGTAAATGATTGTATATTTCTAACGTAAAAGGCGAACTATATGAAAATCTTCTTGGTTACTGAATCAAAACTCTTTAGTTCCAATATTTTTAATTCAATAAACTTCTTGCCTCGTTCATGTCAATAAAATGTAATCAATCCAAAATCTTCACGACAAGATGTATTATTAAGCAAATGATCTAAATAAAACAAAAACATTTTAAAAACCAGGAACCAACACAATAATGTTTAAACAATTTTTTTCATAATCTTTAATTTAATATCGTCTTCAGCCATCGTCACCTCGTTTCGTTATTTTATTGAAGTTTGGTTGGTAAAACTATTACCTACGTAAAATGAATTCGAAAAAACACAAAAACCAAACACGCACAGATGCAGTAATGTCGACTAAAACGCGGGAATTCATTCACAAGATTTGTAAAGAAGAAACTCCTTGGATCGACATGACGCGACACGGCTTTATTGGCGACAGACGGAAGCAACTCTTTACATTGTTACTCCAACCCCTAAGGATGCAGCTAGAACGAATGTGTGGTAATTTATGCTTACTTTAACAAGCTTTTATTAGTTTGTCAATTATGTATATACTAGCTGAACCGGCAGACTTCGTAGTGCCTCAATCGATAAATAAAAGACCTATACTTTTGTATAAAATAAACTTAAAACAAACAAAGGGAATCCGTCCGACGGGGGACACATCAAAGGAAAAACAAAATTGTTATTATCATTTAATTCCGTGCATTTTCATATTTATCTACCTTTTAAACCTTCTCTGGACTTCCACAAAAACGGTTCGTTTCGTTAGCACTGTTCGTTAGCTTCGCTCAAACTCGAGAACGGCTGGACCCACGGAATAGATAAATAAGGTTATTTAACTATTCCGTGGCTGGACCGGTCTTGGCTGGCCGGCTGGTCTTGAATTATTTGTGGAAGTCCAGAGAAGGTTTAGAAGGTAAATAAATATAAAAATTCTCGGAATTAAATAAAAATACCAATTTTGCTTTTCCTTTGATCTGTCCTCCGTCGGACGGATTCTATTTGTTTGTTTAAGTTTATTTTATACAAAAGTTTAGGTCTTTTATTTATCGAATGAGGCACTACGAAGTCAGTAAGTTTTTATATATAAAGAATAGATAGATAGGTAGATAGATTATGTACATATGTATTATTGTAAAGGAGTCTTTGAACTGCATTTTCACTGACTTCAAGACGGCCAAGAAAGTTGACAATTTGCACACACATGAATTGCCAATGACGAAACAAAGATTTTTAAACTTCTAAGCTATTATATATTAAGATGAAATTAATTGTATGTTCTCTTTAGTTTCATATGCGGGTTTGTTTTAGTTTTATATCTACCTACATTGATTTTAATTTAAAGTTGAATCTGTGTGCTTAGTGCGAGTTTTTTAACGTTCTCGATAGCGTAAGAGTTAACCCAATTTAGTATGCAGTTGGAACAGCGCCCCTAGCGGCAAACGTACGCAAACGATCCCATTCCATACAAATATGAGCTAAGTTTTACGCTATCGAGAATGTTAAAAAATTCGCACTAAGCACACTGGTATTCATATTTGCGTAAAAAGTATACGTCTGCCCTCCGCACGCCCTTTTGTCACGTAATTGGCCGCCAATCATGTTTCGTGTTTTTAATTTTATTGATTAGTTGGGTAGACGAATTCGCAGTCCACCTGGTATTAGATTACCGGAGCTCATAGACAACTACAACGTAAATACCGCCACCCACTTTGTGATATAAATTCTAAGGTCTCAGTTTTTACAGTACAACTTACAGCCCCACCTTTCAAACCGAAATAGATTTTTTATTGCCCTTGTAGGCAGACAAGCATACGGCCAACCTGGTGGTGAGTGGTTACCGTTGTCCATGGACTTCAGCAATGCCAGGGGCAGAGCCAAGCCGCTGCCTACGGCTTAATACTCTCCACAAGCCTCGTTTGAAGAAGGACAGTCATAGAAATACCATTCGCATTACTGCTTCACGGAAGAAATAGTCAAGACGTTGGTACCTACCCGTGCGCATTCACAAGACGTCCTACCACCAGTAAACGCCGATTGTTAGAATATGACTCTTTTTTTGTCTTTATTGTGCTTGTAGATTAAAGGATTTTTTTTTTCCTACCTATGCTGATAGCCCTAGTGGCTATTTCAGCGTAACCCTAACTTTAGTAGGTGAGCTCACGGGGCTCAAACCTGATGACGTTGCTAACACGAACCCTAGCAAGAGCCGTGCTTCGCAGAATCTTCCACCGGATCGGAAACGCGACCCACTGAGAAGATCCGGCGAGAAACTCAGTGGGCTGTGTCTGAGAGTTAATTTACTCGTCGAGCCCTTCGTCGCAAGCGACGGGTTCGANTTCAGCGTAACCCTAACTTTAGTAGGTGAGCTCACGGGGCTCAAACCTGATGACGTTGCTAACACGAACCCTAGCAAGAGCCGTGCTTCGCAGAATCTTCCACCGGATCGGAAACGCGACCCACTGAGAAGATCCGGCGAGAAACTCAGTGGGCTGTGTCTGAGAGTTAATTTACTCGTCGAGCCCTTCGTCGCAAGCGACGGGTTCGAGGAGAACGGTGACCGGTGCTTGAAGTACCTAGAAGCACCGTTAGTGGATCGGGAGGATCCGAGATGACGTGCTTTGGGCGTCGTCGACTGCTTTCCATTCTGTCCGCAGGATCGGGAATGTAGTTACCGGCGGCCACGATGAGATCGTGTCGTGCCGCTTTATCGAAGTGAATTAAATGACTTAGATACGCTGTCTCCTTGTATACATTAATGGTCGATAATAAATTAAAAAATCGCCCACCATAGCCCAGACTACGTATGTGCTTAACTCATATTCATGAAATATGCCCGCAAAAATTTGTGTGATTTCTACATCGAGGAGTGATAGCCTATTTGGTTTTTACGGCATTTCGCTTAATACGCAACGTTTATCTTTGTAATTAAAGGTCCGTTTTGTTTGGTACTAGCGACCCGCCCTCGCTTTGCTTCGGAAACTGTAATTTATTATTGATTTCTCCACTATTTAACGGATGTTATTATACATATAAACCTTCCTCGTCAATCACTCTATCTATTAAAAAAAACCGCAACAAAATCCGTTGCGTAGTTTTAAAGATATAAACATACTTAGGGACAGACAGATATAGGGACAGAGAAATGATTTTGTTTTATACTATGTAGTGATTAGCATCAAAAAATCGATGTTTTTAATTGAACTTCATATAGGTAGGTGAAGAATTTTTTTTGTCTTTATATTTTTCTTAATTTTAAAACTTTAAATGGTTCTCTTGTAAAGTCGCAAAAAGGTCGCTTAAACAAAACCGTCTTTCACCCTTCGATTTATTTGAGACTTAACTTACATAGGTCTCGAGTTAGTGCATTTTCGACTTTGTTAATTCATTCATTCGCTTTCGTCGTCTAACTTAACTGTTTGTTTTTGATGCAAAGCAATAATTTACCCGAGATTTACTAGTAATTTACAAGTAATGGCTCTGTTTTTCTTCTGGTATCCAACAAGATTGTCGTGAATCCGAAGATATATTTCAATCAAATACACAAAAGCTTTATGAACATTTACAGGGGAACAAAGTTTAGTAAATAATGAAACTGGTGCCAGCGCTAAAAAAACTAAGAAGAGAAGAAGAATTCGAAAAAACGTTATTAAAGCGATAGATTAGAAACGGTAAGAAAGCATTTCAACATTTGCAGTTCAAGCATTTCACAACATTATTCGTGAAGTCGTAGGTATATTTAGATAAACTATTCATAAAAAAATCCATTATTTATGCAATACTATTGCAAATGCAATTGTAGCGGGCTTAGTTAGTCTGTGTCGAGTAGTCACACAATAAACATTGCAAATTGTCGTATCTTTAATCATTACCACCCTACAATAAATACACATGCTCTATAAATATGCACAAACTCTATAGCAATTAATGTATTTTAGTGTATTTAATGAATGTAATGGCAACACTGTCCCCAATTGTATTTGAATTTTTTTTAGCTATTCAACAATAGATGCCGTTAAAAAAGTTTCACCTTTTTGTCGATAGATGGTTCTAAAGTTTTATAAAAAATAATTGCTATAGACTCTGTCGTAGTAATGAATTTATTTATCTGATAATAATTAAAGATAGTGGTATAGACTAAGATTTTTTAATTATGTACCAAGTTTTATCGACGCCAAAAAATAACCACGTGATTATATAACTTCCGTCACAGGGCTGTCAGTCGCTGTCACCGCGCTAGTTGTTTCCTTTACCACTGTGCGACAGGCGCGGTGCGGTGTGTTCGTGGCTTGTGAACAGCATTAAACTGAATTAAAACATGTAAGTAAAAAAATGTTTGCATATATTGAATTCGTTTACTGTCGCAATTATAATTTAAAAAAAAACAATACTTATTAATAACGTGAAATTGAATAAATATTCATTTAAGCCGCCCCAGTTTTCCTTACGTAACGTGTAATAGAATTATGTTTGCACGTGACCTTGTGCTGTTTTTTAATCTTGAAAAAGTGAGAAGTTTAAATTCATTTCGTTATTTATTTTAAAGTAATCATGTGAATCATGTAATTGAATCGGACATTACCGGTTCAATGCTGGAATTCTGGTTCATGGCTGTATCGATTGTGACAAGTTAATGTCTGAGAAAGACAGGACACAAATTGTTTTTTTTTTCTCTTTTGCTCACTGATTTAATATTTCCGAAACTTAATTCGATTTACTTTCATGTTTTATGAATTAAAATCGCGTTTTTTTTTACTATCCACGTATTACCTAACCCTGGCACCGTATGAAGTTAGGCGGCACTGGCATTGATTTTCAACAAATCGGTATGAAAGGTCGTGGCAGCGAAGTATTTTTAGTAACTTCTAGTTGGCACAATGTTTTTAAAAAGTTTTTGGAAGACCTTTGTACTAATTTCTTCGAATGCCATACTTGAGCTGATTAATAATGGCTTACAAATTTATTTTAACAGAACTGTCAAAACCAAATGAATATCACTAAATAGGTATAACCAATATGAATTTGTTTTTGACTCACTGATCAGTATTGAAAATTGGATCTAAAATTTATTTCATAGTTTCAAGTTCAGTAAATACTTTAATGCTTACAATATTTTGACATAATTTTATTGGCTTGCTCGTATCTTTCAATGTAATTTTCACAAAATTCAATTTTGCTGAGTGACTTGAATTTTTCCATCTTTGTTATGGACTGTTAATAATATAATCATTTTATTCCTTTGACTTATCGTCTTAATTAGGATCCTCAAAGTACAAAACGTTAACTTTATTTTTTAGTTCAGCTTAATATATGTTTTTTTTTATACAATGCTTACCATAATTTAGCACCAGAGCTTAGCAGTGATGCTAATATAAATAATCTGTTCAGCAATAACCAGAAGAGATGTGACTAAGAGGACGTAGAACATAATAGACGTTAGTAGTTAGAGTAATGAAGGGGACTTGAACTACGGTGTGATAGTACACATTCCGGCTTAAACTGGATTTGTCCCCAATGAAAAATGATGATGCTCTGATTCTAAAGAAGATCTTTCTGATTAATTGCCAGCATAGAAGCAATGTCTAATTTTGTCAGTATTGTATGACCAGTTTTTTAAATCACTGAAATTGTATATACTTTATAATTAATGAACTGTATGTACTATGCATTTTTCATGATCTAGATAAGACAGTAGTAACAAAGACCACACCCTATTTGCACTCTTAGTATAATTACTCTATAATTAATTTAATTGATAAGCTTGAAGTAGTGATTTGTAGTATTTAACTTGTATAATTTATGTATACAACACAATATAATTAGTGAGACCTCAATATTTAGAATCATTTTCTTTATAACATTTTCTCTTTGCTGTTATGACATTTTGAAAAAAAAAACTATTTCATATCATGAACATAGAATAGAATAGTCTTTTCCTATTTAAATATGGACATGTTTTAAGTAGGTGTTAAACGAATACAATTTCAAATAGAAAAAAATTAAAACATTGACTTAATTTGGCATCCCTGATTGAGTAACTTGTATCGAATAATAGATCCGTTAACTAAGATCATTTGATTTTCCCTCGTGATACATCTACCACTCAGTTCGGTTTGATGCTTTAATTTATTATTTGCCGACAGTAAATGAGCAAACAGTAACGAGGTTTTCACTTTAGCATCCATTTACTTGTGTTCTTTTTAATACACTTTTATTAGCTTCAGACGTATGTATGTTTGTAACGGAATCTTTGAACATGATTTTGACCCCCTTCAAAACGTCGGATTAACTAAAAATTTGGTATACTTATTAAGGACCAGTGACAATTCAAAACTTAAAAAAATATTAAAAAAGAAATTTTGAAGTAATTGAAATTCAACAAAAAAATTAAAAATAAATAATAGTTTAAAAAAACTTACAAAATACGCTTTTATAGAAAATCCAACTAAAAAATAGAAAATTAATTTTATGAAATTTGAATTAAAAATAGTGTAAGAAAAAATTATTTTATTGTAAAAAAGCGTGGGGTGCTTTTCCGGATATTATCAAAATAACCCTTTACTCATATCTGTTCATAAAATATTTATAATTACTTATACCATGCACACCACGCTTTTTTTATACACGTTTTTTTTTTTTTTGCTTACATGGTTGGACGAGCTCACAGCCCACCTGGTGTTAAGTGGTTACTGGAGGCCATAGACATCTACAACGTAAATGCGCCACCCAGCTTGAGATATAAGTTCTAAGGTCTCAGTATTGTTACAACGGCTGCCCCACCCTTCAAACCGAAACGCACTACTGCTTCACGGCAGAAATAGGCAGGGTGGTGGTACCACCTACCCGTGCGGACTCGCAAGAGGTCCTACCACCAGTAAATATTTATTTTGTATTTTTTAGTTGGATTTTCTATAAAAGCGTATTTTGTTAGTTTTTTAAACTATTATTTATTCGAGGACGGCCTTTTGTATTTCTGATGTTCTTTTGTATTGTTCTAGAATAATGTTCTCTTCGTTGCTCGATGCGGCGCGGAACTCTCCGTTCCGTGGCCCACTATCGCCCGCCCAGTGCCAGTCGACGGTCGCGCCCGTGGCTATCGAGCAGGTAACACTGAAACTAAACTGTAAGGTCCGAAGATTTAAAGGGATGCATAGTTTTTTTTTTTTTTACGTGACAACGTCTTATAATTCGATAGAGCCGGCTGCACAAACGAAAAAATATGAGTCACGCGGCGTTACATCGCTCTGAGGCGTATTTTCTTATGACGTTGTCACGTTCAACTATCGTCAGTAAACCGACTTTACAGACAACCGATTTTTTTTTTCCTTACCTATGCTGATAGCCTTGAGAGGCTATATCAGCTTCGCCCTAACATGTAGCTGAGCTCACGGGGCTCAAACCGGAATGGTGCTAACACTGGCCCTAGTAAGAACAGTGCTTCGTAGAATCTACCACCGAATTGGAAACGCGACCCACTGAGAAGATCCGGCGAGAAACTCAATGGGCATAAAACACAAGTAAAATCAGACCTTATATGAGGTCGTCAGCGCAAAAGTGGCCTAAGCTTACCATACATAGTATGGAGATAATGAGGTTCGAATTTACCTTTACAATACTTCGTAGGTAAAAAAATACGCGCTAAAATGATATTATGCTTACAAAGGCATCTATTATCTATGGATGAAACTAGGGATAGGCCGATTTTTATGTCTGATATCGTGTGACTATGGGAGAGGCCTACATCCAGCACTGGAGAGATACAGGCTGATGATGATGATGATCGTTTGAACTAAGCGAATTCGATCTTAAGGTAGGCGACGGCCCAATGATGAGAACTCATGATTGAGGGGGGCTGTCTTGGGGTGGCGGGTCGTGTCTGCGTCGCCCCGGCGTCGCATTGCAGTCGCAACGTGTCCGAACTGCGCCCCTCGGCAGGGTTGCCCGGTGACCATAAGATTATGAGAGCTGAGGGCTTGCAAATACTTATTCAAACTCGACTTTTACGTTAGGCATCCATAACCGTCGGTAACACTCGCCATCAGTGTGCTTAGTGCGAGTTTTTTTTAACGTTCTCGATAGCGTAAAAATTAACTCAAAGGGGAATGCCCACTCTCCATAGTGTGCTAGGCCCAAGGTGGACATCAAATATTACTATAAAAATGGACTGATTCAAATTCTTAAATGTATTAGATATCTAAAAAATATATTGAAATTGACGCCACTATTATAAAAAATATAATAAAAATAAAAAACTCGTTTGGAGGTTAATTTTCTATATAAATACCTTAAGAACTTTTCTTTTTTTAATGTTTAAGATGTTCCTAATGTATTTTTATCCAATTATAGTTATTAGGGTATAAAAAACACACATACTTCTTTAAATATCTATATTTTCTTCATCTTCATACACAATTAGTAAATCATCTAAAAATAGCACAGGAGAGCATATACACGGTTTTAAATCTCGGTTAGGTTAAAATCACAATTCACACAATGTTTTTCAGTCGTAGTATGTAACGTTATTGATAAAAGCAAAATAAATCGAAGAAAAATCAAAACACATCCATTTTGAACGCAAGCACAAGCAGCAAGCGAAGTGTCAGTCAGTCAGATTAAAATCAGTGTTGTCAGTATAAAGAAAAATAATTACATGAAATTCATATATCGATCATTTTTTTAAATAACCGATATTTGATTTATTTCTTAATTTTTTTTTTACGAGTACACATTATATTTTATTTTTTATGTTTTTGTTTTAGTTGTACATATTTAAATAACAATACAAGTTAAGTTTTTTTTATTGCTTAGATGGGTGGACGATCTCACAGTCACCCTGGTGTTAAGTGGTTACTGGAGCCCACAAACATCTACAACGTAAATGCGCCACCCACCTTGAGATATAAGTTCTAAGGTCTCAAGTATAGTAACAATGTAAAGTCCAATGGGTATGTCTTTGATGTTATTTTATGTGCTTAAAATCGATGATTGATTAATGATAATATTTAAAATGATTTATTTATATGTTTTTTTATATACTTAAAATTTTTACTTAATACGTAAAAGGTTAAATGCTGGCAATATTTTTCCCGCAAAAATAAAATTCTTGTTTTTTTCAATAGAGTTACTTTTTTTAAACTACTTATTGTAAACTGTAGTGGCGCTTATTTGGAAGAAAGTAAATGCATATTTATTTATGACAAAATTAATGCACTAAGTATTTTTTCTCTAATCTATTGTCCGCTTTGGGCCTGAAATGGGCCGTCCCCTTTGTATGGAGTTGGAACGTTTGCCTACGTTAGCCGCTAGAGGCGCTGTTCCCTTTTAGTGCGAAAGCTTTAGTTTCGCTTATTTTGCAGAAATGGCTAAAGGATAAAGCTTTATTTACTTTAAAACACAAAACAATACAAAAATCAATGCTAAATTAACAGCAAAATAATTTAAAATTGTTATTTGTAAATGTTATTAAGTTATTAAAAATATTATACATACGTGCGTGCGCTGAGACACCGTATATGTATAATCAAATTACGCAATAGTCTCTATTCCGACGCTCCGCACTTTGTAGGATCAAATAGAGTCGATATATTGACGGAAATACACTCGAAGCAGAAAACATCTCGTATAAATACGTATACCCTTCATCCTTCGTTTTCTCGAGTCTTACTTAGTCTTGACTTGAGCTGAAATTTTTAATATACTTGTAATATTATTTAATTCACGTATCCTCATTTCATACACACGCACACACACAGACCGGTGGCATGGCGGCGTCTGCTGCGGTACCCACGGAGTCCTGTGAATTTGGATCGCCTAAATACTTCGCTCTTTGCGGTGTTGGCGGTGTTCTGTCATGCGGTGAGTATTATAATGTTTAACAAATAAAACTATTTCATAGGTAGGCAGACTTACGTTGTAGATGTCTATGGGCTCCACTATTTTTTTTTTTTTTTTTATTGCCTTTGTAGGCAGACGGGCATACGGCTCACCTGATGGTGAGTGGTTACCGTCGCCCATGGACTTCAGCAATGCCAGGGACAGAGCCAAGCCGCTGCACTAACCACCTTTTTTACTGGTGGTAAGACATCTGATGAGTCCGCGCGTGTAGGTACCACCACCCCACTTAGTTCTGCCGTGAAGCAGTAATGCGTTTCGGTTTGAAGGGAGGGGCAGCCGTTGTAACTATACTTGAGACCTTAGAACTTATATCTCAAGGTTGGTGGCTTATTTACATTGTGGATGTCTATGGGCTCCAGTAATCACTTAACACCAGGTCGAGCTCAGCTCGTCCATCCATCTAAGCAATAAAAAAAAACGTCACGCGAGAAGAGAGATAAATGTGTCACAATCCAACGCTTGGGCCGATCGTGCCTCTCTATCGTTTGTTCCGCGCTCTCGCTTGCACGCTATGGCTCGGGCGTAACGTGACACTTTTTCGTGCGCGATGACGTTGTTAATCGATTTATAAAGACGTTGTCATGTCAAAAATAAACATTACATGTTAATGCAAGCAGCGTCTTTGGTTTCCTATCTCTGACACGAGCGAAAGATAAATAAAAAGTTAAGTCAGTGCATGATGGATGAGTCACGGATTTAAAAATTATCGTTATCGCGCTAGACGAGCGGTCCTCAATCACAGAGTGTGTCGGATTATGATTAGCTATTTGGGTTATAAAATATATCTTACGTAATTATGTGCAGTATTGACCTAGAGACGCTTGAAGGGCATTGGGGTGCAACCAATGTACGATAGAATGCAAAATAGGAATATTAATTTTAAAACAACAAAATTTTATTTAAAACGAAAGGCAAATTGTCGCTTGGATCGCTTGGAACCTCTGGCTCTACAGAGGGACTTCAGTTCTCTCTGTGTTTTATACTGTATGGTCTATGGGGAATGCTCTGAGGAATTATTCGAGATGATCCCCTCATCTCCTTTTTATCATCGCACCTCCCGCCATCGGAGCAGAGTTCATCCATATTATCTGGAACCACTGCATTCATCGACAGTGCGTTTCCAAAGATCTTTTCTGCCACGTATCATCCGGCTTTGGAATGAGCTCCCCTCCACGGTGTTTTTCGAGCTCTATGACATGTCCTTCTTCAAACGAGGCTTGCGGAGAGTACTTAACTGTAGGTAGTGGCTTGGCTCTGCCCCTGGCATTGCTGACGTTCATGAGTGACGGTGACCACTTACCATCAGGTGGGCCGTATGCTCGTCTGCCTACAATGGCAAAAACAAAAAAAAAATGTTCCAGTTTGGTGTAGAGAAATCAAAACGCGCTCTTAAACATTGACGTCATTGTACAAAACAATGCTTTGTGCCTAGATCAGCAGTCAGGGAACTTTTTTAATTATTACCATAAAATATTTTTGTGTAAGTTGATATTAACCCCATGGCGAAGAACAAAAAAAACGAAATCGCTTCTTTTTAGCATCTTTCATATTATTATAGCCCCATGATAATTTTGAAAAGAAAACAATAACTAAAAATTTTACGATTCTAAAGAAGTTTCACTTCAATATATACTTTTTACTCACAAAACTTTCATTTTTACACCCCAAAATTTCATTTTACCTCATATGGGGTAATTTACCCCGTAGGAAATTAAGCAAGTCCACTGGGTTGTCTTGTCCTTATTCTAATACCTAATGCTTGCTTGTTTAAGAAAGTTCTTAGTGAAAGTGAAGTGTTTAAGAAAGATCTCAGTATAGTTACAACGGCTGCCCCACCCTTCAAACCGAAACGCATTACTGCTTCACGGCAGAAGTAGGCAGGAACGTGGTAACTACCCGTGCGGACTCACAAGACAGCCTAACCACCAGTAGTTTAATACGCAGATAGCGCGAGTTCTGTATATATATTTACATTTGTCTTGTCTCCTCAGGTCTGACCCACACGGCCGTGGTGCCCCTCGACCTGGTGAAGTGTCGTCTCCAGGTGGACGCCGAGAAGTACAAGAACGTCGTGAACGGCTTCAAGGTGTCGGTCCGCGAGGAGGGCGTCCGCGGTCTGGCCAAAGGATGGGCTCCCACTTTCATTGGGTATTCAATGCAGGTAACAAAAATAGTGTTGTTTTTTTTTCCTACCTAATAGCTTTGAGAGGCTATATCAGCCTTCATCAGCGTTGCCTTATCTAGTAGGTGAGCTCGCGGGGCTCAAACCTGACGACGTTGCTAAGAGCCGTGCTTCGCAGAATCTACCACCGGATCGGAAACGCGACCCACTGAGAAGATCCGGCGAGAAACTCAGTGGGCTAACCCTCTACTGGGGTGTAGGGCTCGAATTAAATTCTTCCATTTACATCGGTCTTAGGCAGTCCATTCTACCTCCTCCCACATCATGCCCAAGACATCCAGTTCCTGTTTTACTGAGCTACGCCAAGTTGTTCTGTTTTCCAACTTTGTCTCGGCATCTCTAAATGATTACACCAAACACCAATTGTTCCTACTGAGAATTGATGACAAATCTAACAGATGATTCCGTGCAAACTAAAGCATGTGGTTTATTAACGTGAAATAGATATTTAATCACAATATTTTACGTTTACAGGGTCTCTGCAAGTTCGGTTTCTATGAAGTGTTCAAAGTCGCCTACGCCGGTATGCTGGACGACGAGACCGCCTACACTTACCGTACCTTCGTGTACCTGGCGGCGTCTGCGTCGGCGGAATTCATCGCCGACATCGCCCTGTCGCCCATGGAGGCGGCTAAGGTAATGCCATATAATATAGAATAAAAATAATAATGCAGAAGCCTTAGAGCTTTGCAAAACGATAACTTAAATGTTCCAGTCAATCGGTAGCGGTAGGCAGTGACTTGACTGTGCAACTGGTATTGCTGACGTCCATGAGACGGTAACCACTCATCAACACGTGGGCCGTATGCTCGTCTGCCTATCGATACAATAAAAATCTAATACAATAAAGTCAAAAAGATCAAAAAATAAAGAAGGATAAACATGAAAGTAGAGAACTCACTTGGAGCTATAGTTGTAATTTGGTTGTCCAAAGTAAAAAAACACTAATATAAAAGATAAGATTTAGAAATTAATGAGTATATATAGGCGAGTCTACTAAGTATGTTCCGCCGTGCAATTTAAGACTGATTGAGAGATTACTTTGATGTCAAATTTATGTATGTATGTGTAATGTATATATTCTCTACAAGTGTTAAATTTCATACTACACCGTCCACGCAATTTTCGTAATAAAAGGAGTACAAAGTTTTTGCTTCACTTATTAATAACTAGCGACCCGCCCTCGCTTCGCTTCGGAAACATTAAAACAGACATGAAACCAAAAAATTAAAATAATAAAAAAATTAAAAAAAAGTAGCCTATGTTCATCAGGGACAATGTCGGCTTCTAATGGAAAAATAATTTTTCAAATCGGTCCAGTAGTTTCGGAGCCTATTCGAAACAAACAAACAAACAAATCTTTCCTCTTTATAATATTAGTATAGATATAGATAGGGGTTAAAGTATAAAATTGCTGTTTTATTGTAATAGGTACATTGACATTGAACCTTTATGGTTTGAGAATTTTTAGTAAAACTTCTTTCAAATGATACCCATGAGGTTCCTTTTTAAAAAAATGCTATAGATTAAGTTAGCATTAATGTTACCTGCCCGATGACGAAAGAAAAGCGCTCGAGGGCTGTCGTTGGTCGCGCTCGCGTCGCGTCGGTGGCGAGTGACGTCATCCTGCACTAGCAGCGTGTCCGGCGCGGGCGTGACTGCGGGGTTGCCCGGTGAACATGAGATTATGAGATCTGAGGGCCTGTTGCCATAACAAAAAAATGAGACTTGTAATATTATTACATCTTTTGATCATTCTTCTTTTTCTCCAATCACACCAGGTAGGGTCGGCACAGCGAATGTTTGTACATTCTCTTCTATCAGCCGTCATCTCAACACTCCCTCTCTCTTTCTCTCTCATATCGTCATTCACATACTCTATCCATTATTTCTTTGGTCGACCTCTTCCCCCTCTACCCTTTCTTATCATTGATGCATACATTTTATTTAAACGTTTCAGGTCCGTATCCAAACCATGCCTGGTTTCGCGAGCACCCTCCGCGAGGCGTGGCCGAAGATGGTCAAGAACGAAGGTTACGGCACGTTCTACAAGGGCCTGGTGCCGCTCTGGGGCAGACAGATCCCGTACACGATGATGAAGTTTGCTTGCTTCGAACGCACCCTTGAGCTGCTGTACCAGGTAAACGCGTCTACCCGTCTCTATCGCACGCGTTAAACTCTTAACAGGTGTGAATGGGCTGTAAAACGGTTGTGGTAAATTAAAAGCAAAATACAATTTTAGAGCTCGTATTAAAAATTAAAAAAATGATGCACATGAAAGAAGTGAAACTTCTTTTGCGGTGTGTAATATTTTGTTGTTTTCTTCATTTTTCGTCCTTAAATCAAATTTCTCTTGTAATGCTATGTATAAGAGAGACGACCTAGCTCGCTTTCTCCCTCTCTCCACGGTCCAGTGGTTCGCGAGACGCTCGGTCTGTTTTCTCACTCTCGCTCGTCATAAATTGTATCTATTCTCTCTAGCCGTAACGAATCTGTCGCGAGTTAAATGTTACTCTCAACGCGCCTAAAGAAGTTTCACTTCAATAAATGAAATCTTCCTCGCACGCTTCTAACCTTGAATTCATTTATGAGCAAGAGAACATATTGAACTAACAATAAATAATTTACATTAAAATTTACCGAGCCAATGTAGGCAAGCTTTCGAACTTTGCTATAAACAAACAACAGGCTTTCAATAATACGAAAATTAATTTTATATTCACACTAATCCCATGCATGATTAGAACCATCAAACTATGTGCTCTACTAACAGAATGTCGTGTTGACCAACACCCAGCATTATGATAATGCACACGATCGATACAAACTTTTAAGTCTTGTGTACGTTGCCTTAAAATTTTATGTTTTTCAGTATGTTGTGCCCAAGCCCCGTGAACAATGCACCAAGGGTGAACAGCTGGTGGTGACATTTGCAGCTGGTTACATTGCCGGTGTGTTCTGCGCTATCGTCTCCCATCCAGCCGATACGGTTGTGTCCAAACTCAACCAGGTACGTACTCTGGAGAATTTACAAGCTTGTATTATTGGACTGTTGGTGCTACAGATCCCCATTTACAGGCTACTGTTAAGGGATAGAGGCTTCGATTTCATGTTCTAAGTGGCATTCATTGTATGAAGTCTTATGGATTTTAAAATAGTTTATTAGCCCATAATAATACTGGTGGTAGGACCTCTTTTGAGTCCGCGCGGGTAGGTACCACCACCCTGCCTATTTCTGCCGTGAAGCAGTAAAGCGTTTCGGTTTGAAGGGTGAGGCAGCCGTTGTAACTATACTTGAGACCTGATAACTTATATCTCAAGGTGGGTGGCGCATTTACGTTGTAGATGTCTATGGGCTCCGGTAACCACTTAACACCAGGTGGGCTGTGAGCTCGTCCACCCATATAAGCAATAAAAAAAAAACTTGTGTCGTGTAATTAAGAAAACGTATTTTCATGGATGTTGCTAGTCGTAAAATTAAAACTACTATTCCGATCGGTCAGTCTGTGACCGTGAAAACTGTAAAACTTTCGAAACTTCCGGAAAAATCTGACAATAAAAACACGAGTATTCAACCTTAAAGATAGTCTTTTTATAGTAATGATTCACTATTTTGACGATAATGGCTTACGAATAAAAGATAAATATATGCTGTCACGGGCTTTTTTGTAGGACTATTTGAGATAAACATTTCTATTACATTATATACGTGTAACTGATGGCAGATTTTTTCCTTCTTACTTGACACTTATCATTATATTTTGGGTAATTCACACTTTTATAAATTATAGGCTATGTGTTATTCTGATGTGTAAGCTTAGTGCCATATTTATTTATATCGAATCCATAACCTAAAGAATTCGTTTTCAAGCTTTTAGCTTTAAAAATGACGATACTTCCCTCTTTCGTCCCCCTTTTTCAACCCTTTTTTTCGCATTAAAAGTAGCCTGTCTTTTCTCAGGCTCTAGGCTGCAGGCTATCTGTGTACTAAATTTCATCTAAATCAGTTCAGTAGTTTTGGCGTGAAAACGCGACAGACAGACAGACTGTTACAGTATGAATATGATAGTATGGATTGTTGTTTTAAATTTTGATTCTGTTCTCAGGACAAGACCGCGACCGTCGGCTCGATCATGAGCAAGCTCGGCTGGGCCGGAGTATGGAAGGGTCTGGGGCCCAGGATCGTGATGATCGGTACCCTCACCGCGCTGCAGTGGTTCATCTATGACGCCGTCAAGGTACTGTATCTGATTTACAACTAATGACTATCATTATTTAAATATACTAGTGGACACTAGTGTTTCACTGGTGGTAGGACCTCTTGGGAGTCCGCACGGGTAGGTACCACCACCTCGCCTATTTCCGCCGTGAAGCAGTAATGCGTTTCGGTTCGAAGGGTGGGGCAGCCGTTGTAACTATACTGAGACCTTAGAACCTATATCTCGAGGTGGGTGGCGCATTTACGTTGTAGATGTCTATGGGCTCCGGTAACCACTTAACATCAGATGGGCCGTGAGCTCGTCCACCCATGCAATTTCATTTATATTAATTAATAAATAAAAAATATTTTTCAATGATTAACAATATTCAAACCAATTGTTCCTACTGAAACATATTCATGTGGAGACTGTTAATATGAGTGATTAACTAAACACCTATTTTACGAATTTAGTTAATTATTGTTGACTAAAAAAAATTTTTTTTCTCTATTCTCAGGTCTGGCTGAGGATGCCCAGGCCTCCGCCACCCACGATGCCAGAGTCCATGCGGCTTCGGCTCGAAGCCGAAGAGGCCAAGAACAAATGAGAAGCCTAGCTTAGAAAACTTTAACTATACGCAACGATGGACGAATACGGATCTAGAGACATTCCCGGCGAACTATTTATTATTCAACTTCAATACAACTCGTGAATTGTTGAGTGAATCTATGTAACGCGAAATGTTTGACACTTCGTCTTTTCGCATTAAAAGTTGTACAATTTCCAAAAATATTCGAATTTGAGTTAATATGTGGAATCATTTGATATCACCAGTATTAAAAGGTTTGCCTATATTTTGACTACTATTAACAAAATTAATACATAATTTTATCTCTTAAGACAGGTAATGTAACTGGTAAACAAAAAAAATAGGTTGCAAAGATGATTATTATTATGATAAATATCACATGTTAAAAACTTTTAAAACACTCTCCTGCAAAATTAGTCAGTTTTGTTGAGATTATACAGTTTTAATGCGAGAAGACGATTTGTGCTTTGTGTCCGATTTAATCGAGTCATTTCGTAATCGTTCACCGTTGTGTATTTAATATAATATAAATTAAATTATCCCACTAGTTGCAATCTAATGTTATCGAGTTTCCAAATGACAGCGCTATAGAACAAGCTCACACGACTAGTTAATCTATGTATCAGATATTCACATGATATTGTAAACTGTGTAATATGATATTAGTGATAGAGACGTTTTTTTTTTTTTAATTAAATTCATTAGCAAAGCGTTGTAGTGAATTCGCGGGACACACCGGCTTGCGGTCCCGTGATTACCAATTATGGAATACCAGTTATTATAAGTGCGAGAATCATGTTAATTTATTTTGTGAAAAATAAAATTTTATTTTTATTTGTTTCTTTTTTTTTCATTTTACAAACGTTGTTGGAGTTCAATAATAAAATTGTAGAAGATTCGTTTTGTTTTAATTTGACCTTTGGGATTTGCGAAGTTATCGATTTCGTACGATCGAATACGTTTACCGTAGTAGACGTGAGGAATGCGATGGAGAATAGCCGGGTCTACGTCGAACGATCCGTTTTGGATCCGATGGAGAATAGCCGGGTCTACGTCGAACGATCCGTTTTGGATCCGATGGAGAATAGCCGGGTCTACACCGAACGATCCGTTTTGGATCCGATGGAGAATAGCCGGGTCTACACCGAACGATCCGTTTTGGATTCGTGATTCAGGATCACGGAGCGTGGATTGTGTTAGACCAGGGGGTCGGCAACCTGCGGCTCTTTAGCTCCATACGCAAATATAATTTAGCTATGTTATAAAAAAAAAAAATTAAAAAATTGTTCTGAATCAACTAACGAGGATTGGGCACCATTTCTATCTCTCAGCCCATTGTTTTAAGTAAATGTTTAATTGTTTTTGTTTTTTTACTTAAATAATAAGTGACTATCTAATAATACCATACATACAGGGTGTCCCAGAAAGAATGAATAATCCTTGCACCCCGCACGGGACAGCTCTCCAGCGCTCAGAAAAAAATATCTAAAAAACAATTCCAAGTGATACCCAAAATATGTTTTTTTTTTAGAAAAACATACGTTATTTTTACTTTACTTCACATTCATGTGCACAACGGCCACAAAGTAATGAAATTTGTGGTGTTTTTGGTGTCATCTTATTCCTGATAGACTATAATACTACTAGAAATACATTAAATAATATAAGTATCTATGAAACTTTTATCAAAAACAAAATTAGAACTTGAATTTTTAACATGAAATTTGATACCAAAAAATTTTGGCATAGTTTGAGAGCGTTTCATGTAATAAAAAAGTAGGAAAACGTAAGTGGCCAGTTATTTAAAAAAAATGCGCAGTTCATACAGTTTACAAAATGGTATAATACATCTTTTTATCTAATACCGCTACGAAGTTATTGCTATTGAGATGTAAAAAGAGTAAATACGACTAAAGACAGAAAATATGTCTTAATAAATTTTAATAATAATAAAAAAATCGGTTGTCCCTAAATCAAGCTTTATTCACAACAGGTGTTCAAGTTTTTTTTTTTTATGATTGAATATTTACTGGTGGCCCGGAGGCCTTTCCAATTTCACCAGGACAGGTGGGCGAGCAAATACTCAGCCAGAAGGGGTGGGATTTGCTAACAACTGCCCGGGCGCCTCCGAAGGAGACCTAACAACTAAAGAGCAACTGCTTCGCGAATGAATCTACTACCGGATCGGAATCGCGACCCGCTGAGAAGATCCGGTGAGAAACTCAGCGAGCTGATGCATGGGTTAGGTTGCACGTCGACCTCTTTGTAGAGTTCGACGAGTACGGTTACCGGGGTTCCCCAGCCTGCTCCTAGTGTTAGAGCTGAAGGTATCTAATGCAAGAGTTATTGGATCTGATGGATGCGTAAGGACGTGGATGGATCCGTAAGGACGTGGTTGAAGTTGTCTGCCACTGTCTCTAATACACGCTCGACATCTTCTAATAAAGGCTCTACTAAGATAACGTGCAAAGCGTCGTTCATTTATTTTTGAAACGGCATCTTGAACACGGCTGCGTAATTCCTCCAAATTAGAAATTGTTTTCGAGTGCACTTCTTCCTTTAGACAGCCCCAGTAAAAAAAAGTCAGGTGGATTTNCCTCCATTGGCACAGGAATTGGAGTTGGAGTCATTCTCTCTACTGGGGTGGGTGGGATATTGGCGGCTAATCTTTGCGCTCGCTTTCTCTCTTTTGCTTTCTCTTTCTTTTTTTTATTTTTTTTATTTTTTTTTGATAGGTTTCTTGGTGCCGGTTGAGGTCTAACGGCCGGTCGGGCAGCGTTAGCCGGTGCCATCAATGTGGAGGCTACTGGATTCGACTCCACTAGGTTGGGCTGCCGTGAGTGTAAGGTGGGAGTTGGGGCGAAAATTGGGGCTTGGGACGATTTCCCTTTGCCCTTGCCCTTACTTGATACGACTCTAGCGGCCGGAATTTGAGTCGAAGTTGTTTGAGATGGTGTTGGTACTGCAGGAGCTGGAGGCCTCCGGGCGCGCGGCACCGGTGGTACGGGGGGGGGGACGGTAACACCCAACATCCTCGCCCTCCTGCGGTAGGCCACGCACCGTTTGTCAACGGCTGCGTGGTCCTTTCCGCAGTTGGCGCAGGTGAAGGGCCCCTCCCAAATTTGCAGCGAGGTAGGCCCCTTATTTATGGTCGCCCACGCGCACTCGGCCAGCGCTATTATGAGTCCGAGCACGGTGGGCGTCTATTGTTCTCTCGGCCGCCTCGCTCGCCTATTGTTTGCCTAGTCGCTCTATTAGTCGCCCGTATTGTGACTCGCTCCTGCGTTCCCACGCCAAATTAAAGACCACGAGGACCAATCTTTATTTTCAAACAAATATTTACAAATTACTTATTTCTATTTACATCGTTCTCTATTTATGTTAACCTATTTTTAACATATTATCTATTTANCACCCTTGTCGGGATGTCCTCCTCTAACGCGTAGCAATACCATTTGATGGCACTGTCCGCTGAGGAGGCCCCGGCAAGGTAGGCCTGGACCACTCTATATTCCTCTGCCGACGCTGGCAGAAATCTGAACCCTGTTCCGTAAGGGCGCACGGAGGGTGCCCTCCCCAAGCGCTCCCTGATGGCCGCCATATGGCGGGACCAATTTGGGAGCACTTCCACCATAATAGGTGGATGACGGCGGGGCTCCTCTTTAGTGCGCGACCTATTTGGGGCAGTGGAACTCTGGTGGGTGTGTTGTTGGTGTTGTTGGGTGGGTACGGGTCGCGTGGCTGCTACAGTCGCGTATGAGGTGGAGGGGACTGGTGAGGGGTTTGGGATAGGGATTGGTTTGGAATTGGAGACGGAGGGTTCAAGGTCCATGTACCTAGTCGATTCTAGGTTGCCCACCATGCAGCCTGTGGTGGGGGCACCTCTTGGCCTATCCGTTGGAATGGGGGAGATGGTAGGAGAAGGAGACCGAGGAGGCGTACGCAGCTGCTTGGCTGGTGGGCTCTCCACTGTCCCTAAACACTTCCTCGGCTTGGGAATTGGTTTGGAGGGGGGAGAGGACTCCACCCTCGAAGAGGAGGTACGCGAGGGGTTGGATGTCTTGTGTTCTGTGTCGGTGTCTGCCTCTATTTCGGACGTTTCATAAGAGGAAGTCGTCGCCTCGCTGTCGTCGTCCTCGTCGTCCTCGACTAAGGATTTGGACGAAGGTCCAATACGGGGTCGTTTATCTACACCCTCTGCAGAACTTCGGTCGGACTCAGACCTGGCCTTCTTTCGCGGCCGAGAGGTCCCAGAGTTATCGGCCGGTAAGGGAAAGAAACTTTCCCCCGGACCGATCCTCGGAGACTCCTGGGCCGCGACCGAGGGCCCGGGCTTGTTGTCCGATGAAGTGTCTTGTTCAGGGCGGACGGGTACAGAGCGGTACATTGATCGCTATCACTTGAAGTCCCTTTTGAGACGGACCGGGTGTGCTGATGGTTGGGGGTGGTTTCCCCCCCGACATGATTTAGCCGTACCTGTGGTCGGTCACAGCGACTGTCGGTACATCCGTACTGCTACTTGCCTCAGACGGCCGACCCACTATCTCGTTAGGGTTCCTAGCAATATGTATTGTACGTGAGTATACTAATGTGTACTAATTTAATTAAACTAATATTAACTGTAAATAAGAAAAATAGGACTGAAACTAATACTAATAAAAATAAAAAGAATAACTTACAGTTGGGTGCGACCAGCGCTGCAGTCTCCCGTCGCGACCGGCTACCCGAGTTGCACGTAAATGAGCAAGAAGTGAAATAAAAACACAAACTTACCCTTAAGGGCTCCAACTCGATCGGAATAAATGCTAAATGGTAATTAATTACTATTGGATAATGAAAACTACTACTATAATCTAATAAAAATAAAGGAAGAAAAAGAAAAATTACGATTCCACCCCAACTTAAAGTAAGACGGGGATGGAATGCTAGTACTAGACTAATTAATTTAATTTATAATCATACAAAATATAATATCAACCGGCAACGACGGGATAACCCACAGTACGTTACGCAATAATTATATAATTAGTTACAAAATAATAAATTAAATAAAACAAGAACAAAAGAGCTATGAATGAGCAGAACGACTAAGGTGACCACTTAAGAAAGTCAGTCGGTTCGTCAGTAAGCAAATACGTAGAATATTGAAATTTGTAATTCATAAAATATTAAAGCAAAAGAGGGTATAATTAAAACTAAGTTAATAATTGCAAAAATCTGCCACAGTGGCGCTAGTAAGCNATACCTGGCCTAGCTGCCATGGCAGCATAGGAGGTAGAGGGAGTGGGGTTGGGCTTAAGGACCTGTTGAGGTCTGGTAGACTCGAGGTCCATGTACCTGGTGGAGTCCAGGTTGCCCGCCGTGCCGCTTAGGGCGGGGGCACCTCGGGTTGAGTCTACCGGGATTGGGGATAACGTTGGGGAAGGAGAGCGAGGAGGGGATCTTACTTGCCTTAGGGCTGTCCCTGTCCTGGCGGGAGCCCTAGGCTTCGGAATTGGTTGAGCTGGGATTGGACTCCCAGAGGGGGACGAAGACCTAGACGAGGAAGGAGTGACCGATTCGGTTGAGGAATGTGCAGAAGATGTGGTCGCACTCTCCTCTCCCTCCGATCTAGACGAGGGGCCTAATCTTGGACGCTTGTCCTTTTCGCTCGATGAGCCTCGGTCGGACTCGGACCTGGCCTTCTTCCGCGGCCGAGAGGGCCCAGAGGGATCGGTCAACGGGGGAAGGATATCTTCCTCCGGTTCGATCCTCGGAGTCCTCTGGGCCGCGACCGAAGGCCCGGGCGGACTGTCCGTTCCGAGTCCCATCGAGATTGTACGGGTTGCCGGTGAAGGTCGGAATCTGAGGTTCGTCATCACTTGACGTCCCTTGCAGGACGGGCCGGGTGTGCTGATTATGGGGGGTGATGTCCCCCCCGACATGTTCTAGCCGATATTTTTACCGGTCACCACGACTGTCGGTACATCCGTGATAGTTGTACACTGTAAGCTAGTTACCGACCAATGTATTGTTAGCTTAGAGGTGCTTAAGTTATTTGAATTAATCTACTTAATTTACTAAATAATAATGCTATAATGTAAATGGGAAAATTTGTAAAAATTGTAGAATATAAAGAAATAAGACCAAGAAAAAAAAAAAAAAAAAAACTAAGGATTAAACAAACTTACACTCACTCTGCGATCCACCTGCAGGCGCCCGCCGCGGCCGGCCACTCGTAGTGTGCATAAAAAATTAACAAAAGGAAAACAAATCTACTAAAGTACAATGGACTTACCACTGACGGCTCGGTCCAATCTATGTGTATCTAAATTGTAACCTATTTAATCTAATAAGTAATAACTAATAATATGGTGTAAATAAAATAAAAATGAAAATCAAATTGAAATTAACTTAAAAGAAAGAAAAGGAGCTATTAACAGTTTTGTACATGTGTGCATCGAGAGCGCAATCGCCCCGACACGATACCAATGCACCTGCAAGATTCCACCCCAGCTTGTAAGTAAGGTGGGGATAGAATTCCGACAGCTACATAAAATTAATTTAAATCTATAATCTACAAACAACCACTATCAGCCAGCAACGGCGGGAAACCTACGGTTTGTTCGTACTAATTATCAAAGAGAAAAATTACTAAAAAATTATTATATACTATAAAGGTGAATTATACTATTAATGGCCACTTACAAAGGTCGGTCAGTTCGCCAATATGGAAGCATAAAAATTGAATTTGTATTTACAAAATTAAAATATTACACGTATGGAGGGTATATTTAAATTAACTTAGTTTTAAGGAAATGAATCTGCCACAGTGGCGCTAGTTGTGGTTAAAGTGAAATTATAATAATTAATATCAAAATATCAAAATCAAAATTAATTTAATTAAATAATACTAATAGAAAAAAAATAAAAAATTATAAATTAAACAATAAGGAATAAGAAAAACTACTATACACTACTAAATCTAAGAACAAACTATTACGGGTTCCCGACGTTGCCGTGGTCCACCACCGTAAATCGGCTTACGCGGGTTTTGTAACAGCCCCTCCTAACCCCGAAGGGTAGGGGAGGACTGGGAACGGACACAGCTGGCCAGACTCGAAGGCGCTAACGTAACTCGGTTTTTATTCTTAGAATAAAATGAGTACGCAGCTTTTCCAGGCTGATCGACAACTACCCGCAATTAACCAATGTTAAAAAAAGAAAGTGTCGAACAACTCACCTGTTCCCGGGTCCTGCGTTACGTTGCTCGGAACGTCTCCGCGCCGAAACAACACCGCTAGATAACAACACGCACGCTTTGGGCACTCACTATCCGCACAGCACAACACAGTAGGGGCCTCGTAGCACTGGTGTCCCGGGCTGACATCGGGTAGAGAATTTGCAGCGAGGTAGGCCCCTTATTTATGGTCGCCCACGCGCACTCGGCCAGCGCTATTATGAGTCCGAGCACGGTGGGCGTCTATTGTTCTCTCGGCCGCCTCGCTCGCCTATTGTTTGCCTGGTCGCTCCATTAGTACTCGCCCGTATTGTGACTCGCTCCTGCGTTCCCACGCCAAATTAAAGACCACGAGGACCAATCTTTATTTTCAAACAAAACGTTGCAAATTATCTTATTTTCTATGCCTAACTATTCCTATTTACATTCTCTCTATTTATTTCACAGCTATTTTTCACATACTATCTATTTACGGACGTTTTCTATTATAACTATTTATTCTTTAACTTATTTTAACATACTATTCATTTATCTGTTACGGACATTTCTATTATATATTTACTATGTTTTCTATCTATTTTTAAAACTATCTATGTCCGTCGCGAATAATTATTTGCGTCCGTCGCGAATAATATCTATTCTACATTTATTCATGTCCGTCGCGAACATAAACTGTGATCTTATTGAAAAAACAACGATAATATTACTTTTTTGAAAAGTTCTTTAAGCTGTTTTAAAACGCACTTTTTAACCACTATTTTCAATTTAATTTGATGAATTTTTGGGACCAACTTAACTCATATTTAGTACTTCCAAAGTTAACTTGGTTTTTCTTCTATACATTGATAAATAAATAAATAAATAAATAAATAAATCAAAACTTTTGTTATTTCAGAATCTATTCACGCGTCGTTGTTGATTAAATAAAATTGTATTATTGCATTTCCAGTCCCTTTGTTTTCTATTTTTTATTCTATTTTATGATTTTGTTTCAGAGTTGTGATTTTTAAGGAAATTAAATAATAATTTTCTAAAATATAACATGCACATACTTTTTTTGATCATTGTATTGTTGATTATCATTCACGTCACATCGCTTCGGAATAGAAACCAGCTTAATTTACACTATGTTGTGTATTGTGCTTAAATTATNGAAGATGCCAAAGATTGACAGCTCAAATAACAATTCATCTTTATTAAGATGTGCTGTCGGGATGTTCATTGCAACTTAAAAGTGGATTTAACTTACACTTACAAGGAAAAAAAAATGTGTATATACCTAGTCAGGTCATAAGTATTGTCACACAGTAAAAACTTTTCTTTTAGAATGCTGGCCACAAAAAAGTTTATTGAATTCGAATTTCGAATTGTTCATGAAAATAAAAATGTATACTTTTAGAATTTTACTCATTTTTAAATATGGAGTGGACGCTTAAAGAATACCGTGTTGCAGTTATTGCGTTGCATCGTTNAGTAAGTGATATTACACTGTGATAAATTTTCATTATCACAAACTTCCTAGTACCTTATGTAATAGGAACTGAGGTCCACTTGCCCATTTTAGCTACTTCCACTAACTAACAAACTATTATCCTTTTTTCTGATATTGTTATTTGATTATAAGATCTGTGAGTGTTACTAATTAGTGACAGTTACACCTACCTTGACTACAAGATGGCAAAGGTATAATAATATAACACATCTCATTTTTAGTCGTCTCTTCAATCTCCTTGACAATAGTGAGTCTTTTTCGTTTCACAAATGCAGGCCGAGGTTCACTTTGAGTGAATTTTCGTTTTCTATCTGCCCGACAATCGAATTTGGATGGTAAACAGTTTGGTTTCATTCAAATTCATTTGATGGAGCCCATTATCTTGTATTGCATATAATTCTCCATGTCGTTTTCCAGCTAAAACATGAAATAATTTTCCAACACTTTCAATACATAACCTATAAAAACATTTTTAAATGTTATTTTACTAATGTTAGGAATATAATTTCGACTGTGTAAAAAAGTTATTATAATGTATACCTACATTATCTCTTGAAAGATAAATAATGAACATATTTACTTATTTGTTTATATTACCTATGTGAACTCCCTATCTTTTTTATACCTTCATAACGATAAGTAGGAGGATGGAAAAAATGTATTTGGTCTAACTTTACGCCAATGCACATTATTTCATTTATTTATTTTTGAATTTTTTTAATTAAACTGTATACCAATTAATTACTCCTTCAGGATTTATATTTGTTTTTTTTTTCACGATTAAAACCGCGTAGAAAGTTTAGGCATTATAGTTAACGCATGCGCAGTACACATATTTTGCATACATTTATTCAACTAATAAAAATAGTAAATTAAACAAAAAACGAGTAATTTCGAAAGAGAACAAACGTGTTTTATATAAGAACAATCGAAAATGAATATTTATGAGTCATTAAGGATGAAAAAATATTAAAAATTGCATTAGGGGGGCTAACTTGTAGGTATATTTTTAAATATATTTTTAAAATAAATAAATGCAGAACAAACAATTATTAACAGTGAACAATCAAGAACAAATGATGAACAAACGAATTAATTACCTAAAATTGAGCAAGCTGCTCCTGTATCCAGCAAACCAGATGCTTCTAAATCATTAAACTTAATATTTAAAAATGGCCTGATATCATCATTATTATAAGGCAGGACTTCTGCATTTTTATTCTTGCAAAAGCCTTGCTTTACAAGTTTTTTGGATGGCAGTTAGGACAATTTGAAACTTTACAACCTTTCTTGCCACACTTGTAACATACTAATGTTTTATCAGAACATTTATTAGTAGTATGTGTATATAGACCGCACTTCAAACATTTTGAATTTTTTGTTGAAGGGTCAGGTTGAGATGGTTGTGGTTTTAAATTTTCTATTTTATGCTTACCACGTGGCAAGGAGGTGTTCATGTCCGACGTTAATGAAAAATTTATGTTAATCTCTTAAGGAGTGATATCGTAGTGATATCTATCAATGCAAGGTCTTTGATGTATTCAGGTCGAATGTTATGAAGTAAAATTTCTAATTTTTGTTCTTCAGAGAGGTCACGATTAAGTCTAGAAAACATCTGTTGCATTACAGATAAATACGCGACAATTGACTCTTTTTTAAATTGAGAACGATTTCTAATTTCGTTCATTAACTTATAATCGTAATCAGGTGTATCAAAATCATTAATTAATTCGCTAAAAAGATCGTTCAAGCTTTTAAAATTTGAACGATTGGCCCTAAACCAAAATAAAGGTGCTTTTTCTAAGAGATCCGGGAATCCGTATAATAATTGTTTCTCACTAACATTTCTTGATAATTGTAACTCTTTCACACGTTCTAAAAATGCTCTTATACACGTTGTGCCATCATATTTGATGTTAAAGGAATTAAAATTTGTTAGCCTTTCATTAAATTGAATGGGATGACTGGTACCATCCACATCATGAGGACAGCCCGAAGTATGTGGCTTTGTAGGACTAGCACAACTCTGTAGCTCACATTCGGAGTCAGTACCTCCACCTTCATCATCACTAAGAGCCGCAAGCAGCCTAACCAACCTGGACTTTAATTTCATACACGCCACGCTCACATCCTTCATTCTTTCAATTCTATCTAAAAGGTATGTGGACCTAGCTTTAATGCGTGTGTTTCGTTGTGTTGAGGGTACCTCAGTC